TTAGCCTCAATTCCTCTACTGTTGACTATGAAGCCTAAAAACTTTCCTGTAGATACTCCGAAGGCACATTTCGCAGGCTTGAGTTTCATCTTGTATTCCTTAAGGACCTGGAACGATTCTGCTAGATGTGCAATGTGGAGCTCTGTCTTCAGTGATTTTACCAACATATCATCGATGTAGACCTCTATGGATGTTCTAATTTGCCCTTGGAACATCCGATTCACTAGACGCTGGTAGGTGGCTCCTGCGTTTTTTAGCCCAAAAGGCATGACCTGATAACAATACATTCCCTGCTCAGTTACAAAGGAGGTTTTCTCCTGGTCAGTTGGATCCATTCTGATCTGATTATATCTTGAGAAAGCGTCCATGAAACTGAGGTGCTCATATCCAGTTGTGGCATCCACTATTAAGTCGATCCAAGGTAAAGAAAAACTGTTCTTGGGGCAATCTCGGTTGAGATCTGTGAATCAATGCAGAGTCGCCACTTGTCGTTGGTTTTCTTGACAAGAACCACATTGGCTAACCAAGTAGGATAGTCGACTTCCCTAATAGCTTTGGCATGGAGAAATTTGCTGACCTCTTCGTTGATTGCCTTCTAGAGCTTTGGGGCAAAACTTTTTCATTTTTGCTTAACCGGTCTGCAGGTGAGATTCACACTTAGCTTATGTGTGATAACCGAAGGGTCGATTCCTTCTATGTCTTCTTGCCTCCAGGCTAACACTCCTCTATTCTCCCTTAAGAATTGGATGAGGTCTTTTATTTCCCTGCTTAGCTTACACCTGACGTAAACAAGGTGTTCTGGGTCCCCATCAAGCTGAACAGGCTCTAGCTCCTCTGATGGCGTTGGCCTAGTGTCTAGTTCGTCCCTCATATCTAGCTCATCCAGCTAGACATTCTCGACTTTTTTCTGCTTCATCGAGGTCATGTACCACTCCTTTGTTACCCGTTAGTCTCTTTAGACCACCCCAACTCCATTTTTCATAGGAAATTTCATAACCAAGTGATAGGCAGAGGGGATTGCCTTCATCGCGTTGAAGGGGGGTCTCCCGAGAAGCATATTATATGCAGAAGGGGTATCAACCACTAAGAATCTTACTGTGGTGGTGGCCTGGCAGGGAGGATCTCCCATAGTGAAGACGAGCTGGATTGATCCAAGGGGCAATACCCTCTCTCCTGCGAACCCCAACAAGTGAGCACTGACCGGCTCCAGTTTTTTCCTACCTATGTCCATTTTGTCAAACGCAGAAGCAAATATGACATCTGTTGAGCTCCCGTTGTCAATTAGAACTCGGTAAACAGTTCTGTTAGCCACAACAACTCTTACCACCAATGGGTCATCATGGGGGTGTTGATAGCCTTCCAAGTCTGAGTCTGAAAAGGTGATGGTTGTGTTTAGCCGAGGTGCCTTGGACACAGTGTGTATTTCTAGCGCTTCGCCAGCTCTGATTCTACGCAGGTGAGCCTTCCGGGATGAACTAGACTCTCTACCCCCTACGAATCCTCCAGAAATTACTCGAATTTCCCCCAGGGGTTGTTGGTGCTGTACAGGAGCCTGTTACTGAGGTGGTGGAGGTGGAGGGGCTTGATCTTGATTATCCCGAGCTATATAGCGGCGCAACT